TTAAACGGAACTCGAAGGGGATCCAGAAAACTGTTTCATTTATCAGAAGTTCATTTAAGCAAAGTAAACTGATTTAATAAACCAAAACCTTTATTCAAATTGCACAAACTTCACGTTACTCATGTGGATGAGTTGGAGAAAAAAAGCAGTGAAGGGTGGTTTGTTGGGCAAGCTTGAGTTGTTTCTTCACAAGGTACGCGCCCATGCCTGACAAACTAGCCAGAAATTCTGGACAAGCCTCATGCTTAAAATAGCAATGCAAAAGTTCAACAGGCTCTTTAGCTGCTCTGTCTGGGGGCACCGCTGCACTGGCAATATATTGTCATAACATTCATCACTGGAAGATTGATCCTCATCCTGCCCTTCGGCAATCATTTCCTCGGCAGTATCCTTACAACAGGTATGAACATTTTCATCAATTGATTCGTAGCCCTGCAGCATGAAAGGGGCAGAGGGCACGACCTGACTGGCCTCAATGTCGGCATCAGCGGGGCATTCTTCATCAGGTACTGCTTCTTGCACTTGAAAGCCAGCGTGGTAAAAGCATCTGTGTATTTGAAGGTGTTGAACGCCTTTGAACAACATGAGTGCCTTGATTTTCCTATGGCCAACAGCTTCAATGTCTCATCTTCTGCCATGTTTGCACCCACCAGTACAGACATGTGATCTTTACTGTGTTTTTCTCTACTACAGGATTCGCTTTGGAAGGCGAGTCTTCGATGGAAGTGCCTTATAAAAAAAACCCATCTCGTCGACGATGAAGACGTCTCATGGCTCAAAAAGCTCATCAAAATTTCCTTATGTCAAACCTGTTGCCAGTCAGTGCAAATGTCCCTGTTGACTGTAGCACTCTCACCCGAGATTGCTTTCAATACTAGGCCATGGCGTTTTTTGAAGTGGCTGAGCCATCTGTCGTTTAGGGCGAAGTTCTGAACACCCATTTGCATGACGATTTCTCGAGCTTTCTGCTCGAGAATTGGTCCGCTTATGGGCGGATTGGAACTCCATGCACGCTTGAACCACAGAAAAAGAACTTTTGCTAGTTCTTCATAAGGCGTCGCCCGCATCAGCCTCTGTTTAGAGGTAAAGGTCCCGCTTACAGCACCTTCAATCTTTTCTCTGTCATTCCACATTCACCACAGCGTCGATTTAGGGATGTATTTTTTCACCACCTCCACCTTGAGCAGGTTGCTTCCATCGAGCTCCTGAAGAATTTGGAGCTTCTTTTCATGCAAGAGTGCATGGTGCGGCCACTTCCTCCCCATCGGGACACTGTGATCCACCGCACCTAGCCACACAAATAGGCCTAACACACAACGGACTCGCCAACTCGGCTCCTGCAGCCAGCACAAGCGAGAATAGCTACTGGATTGGCTTGTCTCGAGGTGTTGCCATGGTTGTGATACCACCCTTTTTTTAGCGTTTGTGCCATTTAACCAATAACCAATAATTTAACCACCGTAGGTGACTAATAAGCAGCGTTTCGATTAACCGATGAATTTTACTGCACTAGACAATCCGAAGTTGTTCAGCAACTGCGTGTTGTGCATGTACGTGTCAGGAGCAAACAGAGTAAACTCCGCTTGGTTGGCGTCCAGTCTATGCCGCGGGGCACGAGGTCGACTCATGCTTGCCTCAGCGCCGAATCGGACTGGAATTGGTAAAACTTGCACCTGTTTTCTCCCATTTCACTGGTGCTTGCCAATTCACAGGGCAAAATATTGGCACCATGACAACAAATTCGAAATAAAACGATTCCTTTGCCCCCCTAATAAGCATATATACAGTCGAATCTCGATAATTTGATCTGGAAGGGGCCCGAAAATTTGTTCGAAATAATGAAAGCTAAATAAACGGAGGGCTCTCCATGCAGTGGCCACATGTGCATTGTGCTAAAACACGAGGGGGAAGTTTCAAAAGAGTTACATTTATTCACAAATCACAGGACATCCGTTATTAATTGAAGTATACGCGGTGGTACGCATCTGCACACGTTTGCCTTGCAGCTAAAATATCAATTTCGCACGCAGCTAGCAAAGCATTTCTACTTCGTCTTCAGTTCTCCTGGCAAGAGAAGTTACGCGCAGAAATGTCCAGCGCCGACACTTTCTAAAGACGACGACAACGACTACGTAGCGGAGCTTCCCGCTCTCCACTTCGCAGCCGCAGCATGGCCAGCACATGACGAGAAAGGAGGAGCGTCTCCACGCAGAGAGAAGCAGATCGGCATTTGAGAGAAAACCAACACTCCACGGCAGCTTTTTTTTTTTTGCTTTGCTCTCTTCGCTGGCGTCGTTGAAAGGAGAAGGGTTACGTGGCAGGGACGGGAAAGGGTGACACCGGCGCGTGAGAGAACCTCCCCTTCCTTCAAGGCGCAGAGCCGTGCTCCCACAAGGGGCAAGGGCTGCAGAAGATACTGCCTTTTTCCTTTCCTTCAACCACACATTCATTTAACCCAGCGACAGCTTTTTTTTTTTCCTCTCTCTTTTGCACGTGGCGTTGGAAGGAGAAGGGTCTTTACGTGGCAGACATGGAAAAGGGAGAAGCGTGATACGGGTGCGTCGCAGATCGGCATTTGAGAGAGAGCAAACATTCCACCGCAGCCTTTTCTTTCCTTTTCATTTCCTTCGCGGGCAGCGTTGAGGTGTCACAAGTGCCGCAGTGGGATTGGGCGGGGTGCTGAGAGCATTTTTCGAGCGCGGTATGTTCGAATTAACTGTCATAAGTGCTTGGGTGTTCGAATTACCGGGCGTTTTTGCCCATTGAAATACACATAGCTTTGATGGGACCTCATCGTGCGTTCGAATTAATCGGAAGTTCAAATTAAGCGTGTTCGAATAAATGAGATTCGACTGTATTGTATTCACGTGTGCGTACACTATTCCAGACTCTGCGAGCTCACTTCACAGGTATGCTGGATGACAGTGACCGCACGACAGCACTGTGCGAGCAGACACTCGAGAGGGCGACGTGCAAGCTGCAACTTTTTGTGTTTTGATGCTTGACGTCATTTAAACTTGCCAAACTGCTGCGTGAAGTCATCAGGATTAGTACTGTAGCCCGATGTCAAGTTAGTGTCGTTGTTGGTAGGTGCACTGCGAGAAATTCGACTTTAGTATTGAAATAAAATGCCTTATCAGCATTTGCTAAGCATCACATTTGCTCAGAGCTGTCTCAGTACACAGGAGATTTTTATGGCAAAGTAAAATTGCCTCCGAAAAAAGTGTAAGTACCCCTTTATTAAAGATTTTGAGACACCTAATTACAGTGTAGACCACTTGTAACGTAACTGCTTATAGTGTAGAACTGCTTACAATGCAGCCTTTTCCAATCCCGTTTACCTTCCTATAAAATTTCATGTATACGCATACCACTTATTGTGCAGTCCCCTAAGATGATAGACCGGTTATAATGCGGTTGTCAGGAATTGTTTGTGACAAACGCGATAGCGAGTAGCGCTGGGTGAGCCACTGGGAAGCAAACGACCAGGTCGTTACAGAGGAGGAGGGGACGCGGTGTGAACGAACGAAGGGTGAAAAGCAGGAAAAGAAAATGAAAAAGAAAAGACTGTGGGCACTGCGCAGGCTTGACAAGTAAGGGAAGAGGACGGTTGCCTCGGTGACCGATAAGCCTTTGCACCTGCGCCGATGCAGCTACGGCGTACTATATCGCTAGCGTGGCTTCGGCCGCACGCCGCTCAACGTGGAAAGTGCGATCCCGTCTTATCAACTACATGTGTTTATCAGTTTCCTGTCGGGAAAGACGTCGTCGTTAACGAACTCGCAACAAATATCGTGTTTGCTTCCTCGTCCGTATATTTATTTTTATTTACATAATACTGCAGGCCCAGTGAAGGGCCCAAGCAGGAGGGACGTATTTACAAAGCTCGTAATAAGGACAACAGAAGATCAAGAACATGAAAAGCGCGAAGAATAAGGACATAACTCAAACAATGAATAAGAAAGACATTTAACACTTTAACAATACAGGTCAAGATACAATATGTTCAATTGAGTCTATGCTATTTATGAATAATGCTGGTAATTGATTCCATTCGGTTACAGTGTGCGGGAAAAAGGAGAATTTGAAAATGTTAGTTCTAGCATTGAAGGGCGTTAGAGAGTCGGCATATTGAAAACCTTTTATGGTTTTATGACACGAGCTTTCACTTTTGCTGCCAATGCGCTGTCGTACGTAAGCGTGGCGAGTTGTCGACCGTCGTTGCTCATCTCCCGGCCATGAACGCGAACTTCGTATCATGCATGCGGTTCTTGGTTCACTGCTAGTGCGATCTTTTTGACGCTGAATCCCTATTTTTCGGACAAGCTTTCCGCGACATCATACCAAACAGAAAACTAAGCCTAATCGGCATTGGTAGCACTTCGATCGGTAGCCGTCGCGTGAATAAGTTGCGGTTTGGTACTGAAACAACGACTCTTTTAGTGGTGGCCGCACTTGACGGGAAGGGATACGTATAGTTAAATGAAAACGAGGGCGACATGCGTAGCGCTCAAATCGTGGTTCACGATTCAAATGCGATGTCTTAAATCGGGTGCGCACGTGAAATCGAATGGGTGGCGTCTTTCAATGCGTCAAATTCTGGACGTATTCAACATAGTTTCTGTGTAATGCGCATGATCGAGGTGGTCTGGTAGTCGGCTAATTTCCACGATGGTGCTTTCATTCGTTAGACACCCCCCCCCCCCCCCCCCTTTCGGGCTCATTTCATTGGCAATGCGTGTCTTTGGACGTTAAATTTTTTTAACATTCAGAAATTTAAATGTTAGCAAGCACGCATCACATATTTAAATTCTCGGACACGCGAAGCTCTATGCTCAACACGTTTTGCGCATGTGCGGCCCTTAAAAAAACGAAAAAGGTTGTTTTGGTTATAGTGCGGGATCGATTATAGTGCGGATATTCACGACTCCCGTGACTTACGTTATAAGCGGTCTATACTGTATAAAGATACAAGAAAGAAACATGCAGCCTAAACTGACCATTGTAGGTAGGGGTGGTGCCCACCGAGCGCCCCATGGATGACCGGTAGCTGGATCCCCGGTCGAACTCATCCTCCTCCCACGGCCGAGGTCTGTCAATGTCCCGTGATGGAGCTGTCAGAGACGAGCCGAGTGAGACGGTGCTAATGCAGATGGGCGTTAGCAGGGGGGTGGTGCAAAAGAGGCACTTGTTCTTCTCAAGCCACACAAGCACTTGCCCCCATCCAAGCTACTCCTGTGCTCCCCCAAGCATAATGCAACACGTGTTTGCATCCCCCAAGAGCAAATTCTGCCAAAGCTCCGCAGCATGCAGAAACAACTCACATGCATTGACCGGGTTGTCATAGCGCAGCCGGTAAGTGGGCTCCTTATTGGCTGATGGCGTTCGGGAAGCATTGCGTGGGTCCACATGGGTCATTTTCCAGGCCCTGTATTTCTCCCGCTCCTTCACCGTTTTGAGAAACACCTGCAAAGCAAGTTGCCATGCTCACTGTCCACATCTCGCAATCTTCACGGTGTGTTGCCCATGATAAAATGAAGGCTTCCAATACTATTCATGGGTACATCTTTTGCTGCAAGGATGGGACAGCACAGATGACCCATTTACTTGAAGGTGGGAAGTTTTTTTCCCCAGATTTTCGCTACCTAATGTCCACCCTCGTGTTACAATCGACTAACAAAATTCTATTTTTCTTCTCCCTGGACGCAATGAAAGATCACCCCCTCGTGTTACAGTCATTGTTGCTTCACAATAGAGTATCTCAGGAGCGCTTGCCAAGGACTGGATTTGAGGGAGAGACGCGGGTGGCAAAACAAACAAACTTTATCACACCAAACGGACAAAACCAATATCCAGAATTCACGTTACAGAACTCAATAACAATAACACGCAATATCTCAAAAACCAATAACTCAATAACCTTCAATAACAATCCGCATACATGGGCAAACCCAAACTGGCTGTAGCTCAGTTCCGATCCATTGCTATAGTTCTAGCTGATAGCCCTAAGCCAATATGGCATCAACAATAGAACGTCCTTACAGCTCATCGCGTTGTGACTCGTTACCCCTTGCAGTGTCAATGGTTCGTCGAGACCTTCGTCGTTGACGGGCTGCTCTACTTCATCAGGGTCGCCGTAGGTAGCTCCCGCTGTGTGAACCGCTCTTCATCGCCGATGTGTTGGTCTTTGTCTCACTCTTCGGCCTCTCTAGGCCCCGCTCGTCAGATGATTATGATGATGATGTTTGATGTTTTGTTGTGCAAGGGCCATTTCACGGCCAAAGAGCGCCAGTTCATCTTACTAAAAATATGGACAATGATTGTGATAAGCGGCTGTATAAGGGCCATAAAATTCCTCGCGGTAAGGCGGGTAGGAACATACAAGTAATAAAATCATGACCATGCCGTGAAAGATGTGTGTGGTGTGAATAGATGACAAAAGTTGGTGATAATAAAAGACGATGGTGGATATGTATGGCATTAGCACAAGTGCCTCACTCGTTCATACCCTTGCGTCCAAAGGCCGTGAGGCAAGTGCTTTCTTGTGTAGCCACCGCAGCAAAAACCTCTCTGGAGAGGTCGTGCTACGGAATGTCCGGGTATATGATATGAAAACTATGAATTTCTTTTAAAAACGCTAACAATGATTTATGACTAAAAAGCGGTTCCCTACCGCCGAACATTGCAGGGTGTAAAGGTATATGTTGTCGGTAGGGTAATGGAAAATGTTGTTTTCTTAGAGTTTCTAAGTGTTTGCACTGGATTAACACGTGAAGGACTGTTAATGCTTCACCACATCTGTCACACAATGGTGGATCGTCACCAGACAAAAGATAAGTGTGCGTCGTGTATGTGTGTCCTATCCTGAGTCTCGTTAGTATTACCTCTGTATGACGTGATTTCGATACGGGCAGCCAATGACCAAGGTGTGGCTTAATAATGTGTAGTTTGTTTTGTGTGTGTGTATCCCACTTGCTCTGCCAGTATACCCTGAGGTTTCGTTTGAGAGACGGCTTAAGATCAAGGGCCGGGATTGATATGGGTGTAGGGGTAGTGCTTTTGTGGACGGATGCAGCGAGCTAATCCACCCTCACGTTGCCTTGAATCTCACGGTGCCCTGGCACCCAGCACACTACAACATGTTGTTTGAGTGTGTAGAGTGTGCACAAAGTAGGGTAAAGTGAGACAAGGACTGGGTTTTTGTGTTCTTTAACAGTGTGCAGAGCCGTTACCACACTGAGGGAGTCCGTATAAACTACTGCTTTTTGTATTTGTAATTGCTTGATGTGTTTAGCCGCCACAAGTATCGCATAAGCTTCCACTGTGAAGATACTTGTGCCTGGATGTAGAGGGCCAGCATCCGAAAAGGATGGGCCGACAGCAGCGTAGGACACAGAAGAGTTAGACTTGGAGGCATCTGTAAAGAACTCAGGACGTGTGTATATGTGTTGAAGTTCCAGGAAGTATGTTCGGATATGGGCAATAGGCGCATGTTTTGTAACTTCTAGAAAAGACACATCCCAGTCTATAGTCTGCCATTGCCACGGTGGCGGGTATGCTACAGGAGCCATTAAACTGTGTTCAAGTGAGACTCCAGTTTCCTCAGCTAGACTCTTCAGGCAAACTGAGAAGGGCTGCTTCATCAAAGGCCTGTTTTGAAACAGACTTGAGCTCGACAAATCATTAATAGTAGAGTATGAGGGGTGCTTCTTGTCTGCTTTCACCTTAAGAAAATAAACAAAGGACATGTAAGTTCTCTGGAGATGAAGCGACCATTCATTTGACTCAACATAAAGGCTTTCTACTGGGCTGGTGCGAAAAGCACCCGTAGAAAGGCGGATGCCCAAATGGTGCACGGGGTCTAGCATCTTCAAAGCACTTTGAGTCGCAGACTGATAAACAACGACCCCATAATCTAAGCGGGTGCGAATGAGGCTTCTATATAGGTTCCTGAGACATTGCCTGTCACTACTCCACGTAGTACGTGACAACACTTTTAAAACATTCATGGCTTTTAAACATTTTGTTTTTAGATACTTGATGTGCGGAACAAAGGTCAACTTGTTGTCCAAGATTAATCCTAAGAATTTATGCTCCGTATTAACAGACAGACGTTGAGCGTTCAGTTCAATGTCGGGTTCTGAGTGCATGCCTCTCTTTCGGGAGAACAAGACACACGTGCTTTTTTGTGGGTTCAGTCGGAATCCGTTTTCCTCTGCTCATTTGGAGACCTTGTTTAAACCTAACTGAACCTGCCGCTCACACATTGCCAGATTGCAAGATCTAAAGCTAAGCTGGACGTCATCGACATATGTACAATAAAACATATTGCGAGGAACGGACAAGCGCAAGGAATTCATTTTGATGAGAAAAAGTGTGCAGCTAAGTACACCACTTTGTGGCACGCCTGTTTCCTGGACAAATAATTGGGAAAGAACCGTGCCCACTCAGACACGGAATGTCCGGTTTGACAGGTAACTTTCGATTATGTGAAACATTCTTCCGCGCACGCCAAGGTGGGACAGGTCTCTTAAAATTCCAAAACGCCATGTTGTATCATAAGCCTTTTCGATATAGAGGAATACAGAGAGAAATATTCGTATCTGTGCCTCGATACGAACAAGGTGGTCTGTGGTGGATCTACTTTCCCGAAACCTGCACTGAATTGGGTCGAGCAAATTGTTTGTTTCAAGGAAATGTACAAGTCAGCAGTTTATCATTTTTTCGAAGACTTTGCACAAGCACCTTGTAAGTGCAATAGGCCTATAACTCGAAGGTAAAGAAGGTTCCTTGCCCTCTTTCAAAATGGGAATAATAATAGCCTCTTTTCAGGAGGTAGGGATAGTGCCAGAAAACCAGATAGCATTGTACAAATAAAGTGAGGTTTTTCATGTTTCGATTGGTAGGTTTTTTAACATTTCATACACCACACGGTCAGAACCTGGGGCAGAAGTACTGCAGGAGTTTAGAGACGTTCGCAGCTCACCTAGACTGAAAGCTTGGTTATATGCCTCTTATCTAGTGCATTTGTGTTCGAGTTTCTGCTTTTCTATTCTTGTTCTGTATTTTTGGAAAGTGTCAGTATAGTGGGATGAGCTGGACACCTGTTCGAAGTGTGCACCGAGGAAGTTTGCCTGATCTTCCAAGGTATCACCCTGAGTGTTTACGAGTGGAAGTGTGTGTACTTGTTTTCCTGCTATCCTACCGACCATGTTCCAGACTTTAGCCTCCTGTGTGTATGAATTGATCCCTGACAAAAACTTCTGCCAGCTTTCTCTTCTGGCCTGCCGACGTGTTCTCCTGCCTTGAGACTTTATTTTCTTGAAGGTGTCAAGATTTTCGGCTGTCGGTGAGTTCCGAAGCAGCCTCCAAGCTCTGTTTTGCTGTTTGCGCGCGTTTCGGCATTCAGAGTTCCACCATGGCACATGCCGTTTTCCAGGGTGTCCATTTGTTTGTGGGATGCATTTTGTTGCAGCATCAATCAAAAACGCTGTGTAGTTGACAGCAACATCAATGTTCAAAGTACATATGTCATTCCAACCTAGACGAGCGATGGTATAAAACTGTTCCCAGTCGGCTCTATTTATGAGCCACTTGAGAAGACGTGGTGGACACTCAGTTACTGTAGCTGTGCTCAAAACTACGGGGAAGTGGTCACTTCCGTACAGATTACTGACGACTTTCCACTGGAGTAGAGGCACAAGAGATGAAGATACTATGCTTAGGTCTATGGAGGAGTAGGTGTTATTAGCGAGATTATAATAGGTTGGTTCTTTTCGATTTAGGAGACGCGCTCGACGAGAGAAGAAACTGTTTGATCAGTCGACCTCGCGCGTCATACCGACAGTCACCCCATAGCCTGCTATGCGCATTAAAGTCTCCAAGGAGAACATAGGGCTCCGGAAGTTCATCAATTAAAGAGTGTAAATCACGTTTTTGCAGCTGATAGCTAGGAGGAATGTAGATAGTGCAGATTGTGATCAGTTTATCAAAAAGAACCACTCGAACAGCCACTGCCTCAAGGGATGTTTGGAGTTGTGTGTGCATGCAATTCCTTGATTCACTATGATGGCAACACCTCCGGATGATGTCTTGGCATCAACACGGTCCTTTCGGAAAATAACGTATTTACGAAGAACATTTGTGTGTTTTGAATTAAGGTGTGTTTCTTGTACACACAGCACTTTTGGTGAGTGTTCGTGTAAGAGTTCTTGGATGTCGTCAAGGTTTCTGAGAAGGCCCCTGACGTTCCATTGTATAATTTGAGTGTCCATGGTGAATGTAAAATAGTGCTGTGTGTACGAAAAGCGAGTGGCTGTTTAGACAGGGAGTTTGAGTTCACTTAACAGGACCGTCACCAGGCCCTCTTATCTGCTTTTTTGTTTTCTTGGCACGCTCCAAGGAGCCACGCCACTCTTTCGGCACCAAGGGTACCGACGTATCCATTGCCTCCTCAGACGCACTAGATGCCCGCACGTGCGGGCTGTTAGTTCAAATTTCGGGCCTCACCTGGTGAAGTGAGGCCTTGAGACCCGAGGACTCTGGAGTCTCCGGTCTCTGTTTGGGAGTAGGCGGTGTAGTCTGGGCTACAGCCGCCTTGGGGGCAGGTGCCACAACCACCGGCTCGGTATGTGCGGGCCGAAGGAGTGGCGAGGGCTGGTGCAGCGGTGCCCCCTGACGCGCCGCATCAGCGTATGTAGGTCCATAGAATGGAGCGACTCTTCGCCGTGCTTTCTTAAATGTAATGTTCTCCTTCACCTTCAACGTAATTATTTCTTTTTCTTTTTTCCAGTATGTGCAGGAGCGTGAATATGCGGCATGATTTCCTTCTCAGTTTACACAGTGTGGCGGTTGTTTGCAGTTCTCAGACACGTGGCCTAGGACTCTACATTGTGCACAAGTCTGGCGACCACGACAGGTTTTAGAGCCATGGGCATACCTCTGGCATTGGAAGCAACGACGAGGATTTAGTATGTACGGCCTGATAGATGTCTTCGTGTACCCTGTTTGAATAGATTCCGGTAGTTTACTGGATGCAAAAGTGAGTATTAAGTGTTTTGTCGGTGTTTCCTTATTATCTCTTCTGATGATGATTCTCTGTACATTAGTGACATTTTGGCTCTTCCACCCCTCCAAAAGTTCAGTCTCAATCAAGTCAAGTAAGTCCATGTCAGATACCACTCCGCGAGTTGTGTTCATTGATCTATGTGGTGTTATGGTTATTGGTATGCCACCAAAATCTGAAAGGCGGTCTAGCTTTTCAAATTGTTCTTTGTCACGGATTTCGAGGAGAAGGTCTCCGCTAGCCATTTTGGTTACCTTGTATCCTATGCCAAGAGTTTCTGTAAGACATCTAGAAACTAGGAAAAGAGAGACGGTCCTGGCTTGCTTTTCAGTTTTTTCACAGTGGATAACATGAAAGTGAGGATACGTTTCTTTTGGCTGGTTGAAAAAATTTATATCATCGGTGCGTACCCGCTTTAAGCTGGTACGATCAGACAGTAGGGGGAATGCTCTATGCATGCCTGTCTTATTTTTGTTCAGCAGCGTTGGCGGCCACCCACCACGGAGCCCAACGAGGGGACGCTACAAGTTTGCGGATGCTGAAACCTGCAGACGCCAGCCGTACAATGCCACTGTAACCCAATGCGCCTAGACTAAGGTAGGCTATTTGCACAGGGTTAAACCTAGCCGCCAGGAAGTTGGGAAGTAAACCGAAGAGAGTAGAAGACAGGACAGATAAATAGTAAGAGATAAAGACGAAGATGTAGGGAGAGAGAGATAGGAAAAGGCGACTGCCGATTCCCCCGGGGTGGGTCAGCCCAGGGGTGCCGTCTACGTGAAGCCGGGGCCAAAGGGGTGTGTTGCCTCTGCCGGGGGGCCTTAACGGTCCAATCACCCTGCGTCGGCTCAACCCCCAGGATCCCCTTTTCCCCGGACACGGCAAAGCCACGCACGGCTAGGCGTGGGAGGGAGTAGAAACTCCCCCGTTAGCTCGGGTCCGTGGTGTCGCTACACACCAAACGCCTACTTGCGCAGGCGCCCCTGCGGGAGCCCGCTCGTCAGGAACTCTTCCACTGACGCGTCCGCTCCGGTGACTGGTGTGGGCTACTCCCGTTCTCACGCGATGTGGGGAATCTGCAAGTCCACCGGCAACTGCTGGGCAAGGTTGTGGTAAATCAGGGCAGCCTCACTCGGGACCTCCGAGGTCGATGGCCACTTCCTGGTTTTTTGCGCGGGCATCGTTTAGAACTAGGCAGTCATGCTGCTCCCGTCGCCGTAGCGATGCTTGTTTTCCACATCTTCACAGCTTGTCGTCCCGACACACAGTGCCAGCTCATCCTCTGGGATTTTCCTTCTCGCCTCGGGTCACGTGCCATGAGCCGTGTGCATACGGGCGACTCTTTGCCCCTCGTGCAAATTGCCGCGCTTCGGCGTTCGGCACGCACTTTGCGTCTTTCCTTTACTCATCACAATACGGCTAAAGCCTTACATGCCTCATCAAATAAAAAAAATTCCTGTCGTCATTAGAGCGGCCCTTCAAGAAATCAAAAAATGAAAAGCCACTGTATATTTTTCCATAAAACTATGACAAAGAATACCTTGCCGATGCCTGTGGCAATCTTGGAGAGCTCCTCTTCTTCCTTCTTCAATTGGGGATCCTCCTCAAAGGTCTCTTCGTTCGTCTCCTCCTCTTCATCGACCTCGTACTCCTTGGAGCTGCCACTCCAGCGCCGCCGCCGCTCTGAAAAAGCCACCACACATGTGCACATGCTTTTTTTAGGCAAACACACCTTGGCATTTGTAAGACTGAATAAAAAATTTTCTTAATGACCTGTAGCAGATTCACAGTATACATAGTAAGAGGGGTAAAGCACCTCAGCATTTATACAAATGGCATCGATCTTTCCAGCCGTATCATTGGCAACCGTGTTAGTTTCAGAATAAGATGCATCGTTTGCATTGTGTCTGCTATCTCATTGAAAGATTATATGGTAATCAGTAAGATTCCCAGACAAAAAACATACCAAACTAGCCCGTACTATTACACTGCTTCAGTTCCTAGACATGCAGGTACAGTTTGCACAAGGCAGTGGTTATACATGACACGGTCCGGTTACTCTACGGTATATTACTACTAATAGCAGCACTGAATTTGTGATGCAAAAACTAAGTGAGAAACTAAAACATAAAATCTACTGATTTCTACCATATTCTTCTACCAAATTTTTATGCGTTCGTGGCAACACTGCCACCGAGCTCAAGTGGGGGCCGAGTTATATCCAACCAGTAGTCGGACCTGACCTCATTGACAAAGTTACACCTGAAGCACAGGGATGAACTACTGCAGCGAATTGTGAATCCTGCAAAATGTTAAATATATTTGTGATATACTGTATTTACCCAATTCCAACGTACACCTTTTTTCGGGAAAGACAGACCTCAAAATCGCATGCTTGTTAGATTCAAGTACAAACGCTTAAACTGCACCATATCCATATTTCTGTTTTTGGGACATCTGTGTCAAATTGGTGTTGATATCAGGGTCGCATTGGAATTGGGTAAATAGCAGCGCAAGTTTGCTTGAGCACAAGTTTGCTCCATGAATACAGTCCCATGCTTGCCTACCAGTACATAAAGTGTTCCTCTGACTCTGGGTGCTCCCCCGACACATCTGGCCAATGCCTCCTGTAAAAATACTATGCCTGGGACGTCGCTAGCTTTGTTATTAAAGGAACGCCGTCGTATTTCGAGCGGGCGCTGTGTAATGACGCTAGCGACTGTACCGCCGGTGAGAGTGGCGATGTTGGCAACATTGTGTCGAAGAAGCGGTGCAGCTCACTGCTTTTTGAGGGCAGTTTGTTGGACATTCGTGAAGTGCATGGGAGGCTCAACAACCGTCGGTCAATTCTTTGCAGAAAATTTCGTGACAGTGACTTCCTTTTAAGTAGCTTTGTGTCCTGTCGGTTACTCCTTACTGCACACTAAAGCCTTATGTGTTGGCGCTCGGTCATCTCTCGAAATTGGCTTTATTCTCTGGTCATGCAAACTGTTATTTGAAGGTACCTACAACTCTTTTTCTGAAGCTCAATGAGCATTTGGGCATGCATCAAAAATGAATATCTAGGCGAGATGAACACACGGCTCAATAACCGATCACTTTTTTTGTGAACAAGTGAAATCAAGGCAAGAAAAGCTCTCTAAAAACAGCCGTTGGAACTTTTTCCTCATGCGTTTCTTTCTGTCATTCTCTTTTTATTTGCACCACACTGCTTTGAATTCATTTATGATGTGGTGTCGCTAGCATGTTTCAGATGCATTTCGTTGCGCCTTAGTTTGATCAACTCCTCGATTAGTTTCAACAATGCAGTCATTCTTTCCACTACTGCGTGGCAGTGCATCGTCTGCTCGAGTTACCATTGGCACTGCTGAAGGTTGCAAGGAGTCGCCGCGCGAGGCTCTAACGATTGTATAGAGTGGAAAGGAGGAAAATGAAAAGAATAGGGCAGTGCTTCTGTGGCTCACATCGCAAGCATAGTTTTTTCCAGGAGGCATCAGTCTAACTGATCTGCATCACACATTAGCCCAAAGACATCCCAATTATATAGGTCACTAAAATTGCTTTCATCGATCAATTTTAACAGGCCAGCAAGTCCTATTAATATTAAGGTGATTACTTTCATCAGTAATTAATGATAGCTTTTGTAGTTTGAGAAAGCTTGAATGTTTCTGGTCTTAGTGAGTTATCTTCAGCTTTAACTGCTGCTTCAGAAATCTGTATAGTTACTGTTTTGTTTATTTGCGTTATGTCATTATTGTCTTCTCACTCTAAGGCATTGTATATTTTCTCAAGTGCAAATCCTAAATTTCTGTTTTAACCATACTTACATCTGAGTTGTTCTTTAGCGGCTAGCCTTTGTTTTTTTTTTCAGGTTCAGATCCTTCACTAACCTATGGTAACCCACCTCTCTATCTTGCCTACCACTTCCATGTCCAGTATTCTGCCTGCATCACCACATAGCATCAAATCGCTAGCATTCTTTGTTTCTAAATTATTACACTTCTGTGTCACTTCCTATGATTTCAGAAGAAGCTGTTCATTATGAGGAGTCAATTTCTTCCAGTGAATTCTTATTACCCTACATGACAATGCTTCTTTTCCTGCTTGCCTTCACATTCCAGTCTCCCATCAGTACTACTATGGCATATGGGCTTTGTACCTATTGTGATGCTCCTTCAACATCCTCATACAACTGTTATACTACATCATTGCGACTTGATGTTGGAACGTCAACATTTGCTTATCTCCAGTTTAGCATATTTTTTAGTATACAAGCTACTTTTCTTTTAATGATTTAGAATTCTTTTTAATTGTGCTTGTACATTTGAAACCCTATATCTTTCTTTTCAGGGAGCTCTAAAAATCAGAGCCATATAAGTTTCCCAAGTCTTTCTGCAGGCCAATGGTGTTCTCACCTGCTAATGCCTCGTGTCTAGCTTCACTCGTGTTCTCTTAAAAGAGCACTGACATCAAATCTACCCAAGTCGAAATTTTTTTTCGTTAATGAGTAGCTATCGATTCCCTAAAAGGAATGCGTGACCAATAACGCAACTGAGGGACGAATAACTATCTTTTTTGTTGATTTATCTCACTGGTATCTAGCACAATTCAATACGGCCGGCAACCCGCCATTTTAGCGCTGGAAGCGCTACAAGTGGCCTTTAGACTGCTTAACAGCTCACCACTTCTCCACAAACATTTCGTCTGCTAGGCGTACACATTCAGTCATGTCTTGTCACCTGCATTTCCATCGTCGCCGTACAAAATGTCGAATAGGGTCGAATATGACATTGACTGATTGGTGTGGCATTTAACGTCCCAAAACCACCATATGATTATGAGAGACACGGAAGCGGAGGGCTCCGGAAATGGTCGAATACGACAGTCTGGAGCTTGGACTCTCCACGATTCCGGACGTCGTGAATACTTTTTGCTTCGTTCTGCCTTTTGCAGAACAACGATTCCAAAATGGAGGGTGGTCAAAGCAGCAATGAGGAGGTGCCCAAGAATGCATGCTTTGGCCACGCTCATTTGTGAGTCCATATTAGGTATATTGGCGTGTGGCGTGCACAGCATTCAGGTATAAGTAAAAGGGTCAATGAAAAAACGGTATAGGGGAAGCACACCAGCAAAGAAATAAAATATGTTCCCTGCTGCCAGCTTCTTCTTTGCACCTCCAGATGGCCCTACCTATAAAGCCTCTAGCAATGGTGGCGGCAGTACCCCGGTATTATGCGAACGCAAAGAAGCCTACGGATGAAATAAAATCTACTATTAACGATACCTGCATGTTACATGTTAGCTTTGATATCTGCTATACGCTAGTCCACTTCGATAGTTTGTGGTCATGTTGGCGTTAAACATACCCAAAATTAAAGGCACCCTCAATGCGCTTTTTCGGCGCCACGAACCAGACGAATGCAACTCACAACGGTTCTGCGACGTTTGACTGACGAGCACACGTTGAATCATGCTCTTTTCTTTCGCTGATCTTTTATGGGAGGTTTACATCTTGGCAATTTCACGAAATTATTCAAAGCGGTGCAATAAAGATGAGACATGACGAATGAGTGCGTTTCCTGGCTTTGGCACCAGGATAAAAACACCTGGCTCATAGACCTCATCGTTACTAGTGCATTGTCACTCAGGATGGTATGTGTGGAATGTATCATGCCGAACAGGTAGCAGTAGTGTCGATGTCACAGGGCCACTCCATTTTCCATTAAGCTCTCATGCGCCGTTCGCAGTGGAAATAAATTAACTTCCACGCAACAGGTACTATTCAAATTTGGCCCAGATGATCTACGCACACCAAGTAATGGAATGAAGGGCACATCTCAATTTCGAAATTCGATGTAACTGCTCCTTTAAAACATAAAGGAAATGTATAGTTGTTTCCTAGAAACGCCAAACAAATGTACAGAAATTCTATCACAGTGTCATTCAGCAACATTTTAGAAAAACTTAAAGGGGCCCAGCAACACTTTTCGAGCACGGTCAGAAAATGCAGTCGATCGGTAGTAGAGGCTCCCGACAACAAGCGAGCCAAATATTATAGCGCAGCACGTGGCCTGGAATTCACAATAAATTATCAAAGTCAGCTAAAAAATAGCTTTCTCTTCTCTCAACAAATTACGGAATTAAGCCCAGTAAGCCCATCTATCAGCCATTGGCTGTTTTGAACATGGCGCGCTCAGTTGTTACAGAGGTCACAGCAAAAAGGCAGTCATTTGTCCACGCGTGCGCGCGCGACGCACAGAAAAAGTCGCATATTCGAAGAAAAAAAAATACTCAAGGTCACGAGGCGCGAGTGACGTTTTTGTTTGCCTCTCCCATCTCTCCCGGCTCAGCTTCCAGAGCTGACAACCCAAACGCTCGAAAAAAGATAAGGGCGAGAGGGCTCAGAGTGCACAGTCTCTAACTTGTGGAACAACTTTTTTTTTTTTCATTTCTCTCTCTTTAATGCTTTCTACTCGTACCCGTCTGCTCGAAGAGCAGGAACAAAGGAGCCAATGTCCTCCTCTTTTTGCCTTTTCTTTTATTTTTGTTGCTGTTTTTTCGATTTTTGAGCAGCCAACCACAGCTCGCGCCTTTTACTGTTGCCCTCGTAGGTGGGTATTGCCTCGAGAGTGCTTTGTTGCTTCCGTTATCGCGCCGCCTACGTACCACCGCATGTGCAGCATTTCTCTTTTGCATGCATGGTGTCCAAAGCCACAGCAAATTTCTTGAATTGTCGATTTCTCGTGTAGCTATGGCCAGCATCAAGAAACGCAAGAACCTTGACTTTGCAACAAAGTTGAAGACTATTCAGCGTGTTGAGGCGGGCAAAACATGTTCGACCGTCGTGGCCAACTTTGGGATACCACGGAGCACTCCAAGTACTTTGTTCAAAAACAAGGCACATATCAAGGCAAAGGCGGGGGAGCAGCGAACGTCAGGAGCCTGTCATGTGCACACTCCTGCCCATGGGAATGGAGAAAAGGCACTCTATACCTGGTTTTTAGAAGTGCGCGCGAAGAACATTCCGGTGAATGGCCCGATGTTGATGGGCAGGCCAAATGGTTTACCGGTGCACTCGGTGAAGATAACTTCCCCGACAACACCAGGTGGCTTCAGCGATTTTAAGCAGTGGTGCAACATTGTTGGAAAAACCATTTCTAGCAAAAGCGAAGCTATCAGCAGCCAGGACATCCAGCAGCAGATGACGAAGAAGTGGTTGGAAATCTCAGCGAAGTTTTCTCCCACGGAGATCTTTAACGCCGATGGGACCACTCTCTTTTGGCAAATGTTGACGAGCAAGACTCTTGACGTCCCTGGTAGCACGTGTCACGGGGGCAAAATGAGTAAAGTTCGCGTGAGCGTTCTGCTGGCAGCCAATATGGATGGGTCTCGGAAGCTCCAGCCCTTTGTGATCGGAAAAGAAAGGGCACCGCGCTGTTTCAAAAAGTGTAAGCAGCTCCCCGTCTGCTACGGCTCAAACAAAAAGGCGTGGACGACGCATCAGCTGTTCACGGAACAGCTGCAAGCATGGGACATCGAGCTAGGCAAGTCAGGGCATCGCACTTGCCTTGTTGTGGACAACTGCTCGGCCCACCACACTCCCTGCAAGCTAAAAAATATCGAGCTGAAGTTTCTGCTGGCCAACATGACGGCAAAGCTGTAACCGCCTGACCAAGGCATCATCAAGTTCTTCAAGGTGGGCTACAGGAGGCAACTCCTTGATAAGCTGCTGATCAACCTCCGCATGGGCACTGGGCTGAAAGTTGACCTACTTGGTGCCATACAAATGATGATGGGTGCCTGGTGAAACGTGAAGATGGACACAGTGGTGAACTGTTTCCGCAAGGCAGGCTCTGAGACGGCAGAGCTTGTGGAAAACTGTGTCGAATTTTTAATATGCATGCTCCAAAACAAAGTATTTACGAAACGTTGCAGTTATAGTAATCTCGTATCTCTTTTTCTGTTGCTTGTGTTAAAACATTTTAACTTCAGCTAATTAATTAAACAAAGAAGACCCAGTAAGAGCTTTTCGAACTTGTAGTTTCGGTTTCCACGCTACCGCTGCCGACTCGGAACGACACCCACGCCGCCACCGGTAGAAACGGCCTCAGCGCACACCTTTAAACGTACCATATCATAATGTTGGCGATAAAGTTATCACATATAGAGAAATGCGTGAGCATTCTGATGATGGTCAGTATGGACATCGGCATTATTTTTACAGCCATTAGAATCAGTATTCGTTATTTTGAAGTGTTGATATTGATAGATATGCGGGGTTTAATGTCCCAAAACCACCATATGATTACGAAAGACGCTGTAGTGGAGAGCTCCGGAAATTTCGACCACCTGGGGTTCTTTAACGTGCACCCATATCTGAGCACATGGGCATTTTGAAGTGTTGTGAAGATATAACGAGCATAATATTTGATACGTTATTCTGAAACATTCAGAATTCTGAAATTTGTAGCGATTGATATGTGGGGTTTAAGCCCCTAAACCACAATATGATTATGAGAGATGCTGTAGTGGAGGGCTCCGGAAATTTTGACTAGCTGGAATTCTGAAATTCGTAGTAGTGAAATATTTTGACATTAAACCAATGGACATTTGGAGTGGGATTTTCAAAAAAGTCATTAATGTGAAAAAATCTTCAATCTGAGGTTTGCTATAACGAGATTTGACTTTATGCTCGAGTAATCAACACACTTTTAAACCCAAAAAATCGAAGTAATGTTGTGGGTACATTTATTTTGTGGAGAACATTTTATAATAAATTTTTGGGATGAGCAAGAAATGCGGTAATCAAGACAGTTAGGTAGCTTTGCCATTTGAAATTGACATAAGAGTACACAGTTTTTTTTGGTGCTCTTCACTCATCTTCGGTAGTTGATGTCATTTTCTGCACGATGTTCCTGTGCTGCCCGCTCATGCCATATTAGCATTTCGCGGCTTTTTTTTTTTTTGCAATCATTTAACCGCAACAGTGGTATCTGCGGTGATCTCGAGGGGCGCTCTGAGACGCGCACTACGATGCACTTTGCCAACTTCACCGCAACCTCGCACGACGACCCCGAGGTTGACAATGCAGCAAGTAACCAACATTGCAGCAAGCTACCACTGAAGCATCGATAAGAAACCATTGATAACAAGATTAACGACAAAATAAAGCCGCCACCTCACAGTCCACATGAGAAGCAACTATAGAAAATGTTCCTTGAAGTACAACAGGATAACCAGCATAAAAAGCGAATTGCAACCGAAGCAGGAATCAGGGCTGCTAACATGTTGTGAAAATCATCCCTGTCTTTTCTGGGCGGCAAACAATATTTTCTGGTTCCAGAAACCTGTGACGAGATGGCAACGAGTGGCCTAAACAGCAAATCTTGTCGTCACTCGAAGATGGCGTGCATACGCTTAGGCCTTAAAGTTTCAAATTTGCCATAAGCGACCATTGGTAGGTGCAGGCAGTTTCGTGACCTTCGCTCGCTGTGTGCTTGTCATCTGCGATGTCTCTACACTCACACCATCCGTGAACCCTGCTGTGGAACATGGTAATTAAAAAATACAAAAGCGTGCTGTGCACACATAGAAATAAAAACATAATGGCGTGCGGCAGCAGCCAGGGGGTGGGGGTGGGGCCGAAAGTGAGCAGAGGTGGCTGAGGTGCATCGGCCTAATAAAAAACGGGAAAAGTCCAACGGGTAAGAAGGCGCCAAAAGTCGGTTCGCAGGACTGCAGTGGTTAAATATTGGGTGTGCGTTTATTACGTGGCAGAAAAAAAAAGCTCTAAACATTAATAACTGAAGTTGGGGATGCATTTATTATGCAAGTGTGTTAATTACGCACGTATGCACAGTAAGCACATAGGCAAAAATCAGGAATTCGCAATACGTGCCATCAAGCAGAAGATCATGCATACTGGAGGCAATGGAGTTGTAAAAAAGAATGTTGCGCAGGATCTTCCCCATCCTACCTGGATCAGTATAAGGGAACGGTGGTGCTGGGAAATCATCCCTTTCAATCTTGGGGATTTCAGTGGGCTTGGGTGGTCGGGCACCAGGAAAGTGGGCCAATTCAATGGGCTCCTCATTGTTCATGTGAGGAGACTTCGGCCGAGGCACACTGGACTGGATCGTGTCCACTGGAAAGCCATCAGAGCCACATGGAGACATGCTAGAAGAACCACGCACCAATGAACCAGGTTACGGGTACATACCGAGAACTTGCATTCCTGAAAAAAAAAAGAATAAAAAGAAACATGCCTCAACGGATATGTCAAATGCATAAAATTGTCCCTTCGTTCAATGCTCACCTTGCTTTGTGTGAGGCTTAATGGGCAGCTTTTTTCGACTTCCCAAGCCATCTGAAAGATGCAACACGTCATTACATCAATTCAACTAGAAGTATGCATGGCATGTTGAACAGTATAGGTCCCAAAAAAGATGAAAAAAAAAAGGGGGCAACATCGCAGGGTCAGAATAGAGCTGTCACACTCAAAACAGCGGACACTGTAGACGCCGTCAAACAACACAAACATGCGACATTCATTAGATGTTTTACAATGGTAAGCTGTAGCGCAAATGCAGCGACACTGACGTGCGACTTGTCTCGAAGGAGCCTGCAAAAAATGAGAGCCAGAAAATTGTCTCCACAGGCTTCCCGTGAGAGAAGTTCGTTGATGCACATTGCCAAACCCCAAAGAACCTGGTTGCTGCTCCATGTGTACCGGCATAACTTTTCTTCCACAAGGCAGCGCTGCTGAGGCCACCGCACTAACCTCACAACCCACAAGTGCAGTGCGCCCTCTCGTGTGTTGGCTGTTTACTACAACTAACTTGCGGAACACACATGTTCCATGAGATGAAGAGACTTTGCAAAGGTGATAGCACCCCTCCCCCACCCCCTCAGCTTATACTTTCTAAATAGCATTTACATCCTACATAATGAAAGAAGGGCAATGAAACTGGAGACTTTTGGTAGAACCACCCTGATGAAACATCAGAAGCATTATTAGTAGTAATTACACTATAAAGAAAAACGGACTAAAGTGGAGGAAAAAAAATTCTTCACTGGTGGGGACTGAACCCACAACCTTCATATTACACGCCCAACGCTCCAGCAACAGAGCTATAGCAGCAGTTCTTCCCCTGTTCTTTTTCTTGTGCCTTTTCGTAATTGTATACCTGGTAGGGTTAACAAGTGCCATTCGAAGCCTTGGCAGCAAATGTGCAATGTCTTTTCTACAATACTTTGTAATGCCTGGTGTTCCATATTCTCACCAGTGCGATTCCGAATCAGGGTTCACAGCCACTGACAAGAAAGAAGTTCAGTGGTTTTGAAAGACTTGGAAGACCCAAACAAAGAATAGTATTCTGTGAGATGGCAGAAAACACAACACCATAATTTACAGCATGGAAGCACCTCTTCATGTGCGTGCGCATACTGCACAACTAGCTCGCACCCAATGTAAAGGCACTTCCACCTACTAAGGCTTCCGCAGGTGCCCCTTTGGCAACGGGATAATAGATAGGCCCAGTAGGAAGAGCCATGTAGTGCTACTTGTAGGGATTCAGTGGCTAGTTAATAAGTACACTGTGTGGGTTATCTTTTTTTACGTGCACTTTATATTATCACTTCAGCAGATCATTGACCTAATACTGTGGCCATTTGTAAGATTCAGCTGGTGGTCTCACCACTGTGCAAAACATGCTAATGTATGCACATGTGTTTATTACACTATGATGGTTACGAAGTCCATTTGTTCCATAAGCAAGTGAGAGACCCAGACAACTGACAGTTCACTGAAAAAAAGAGCTGTAAATAGTAAAATTTAGGGCGAGAAAAAATTTAGGGCGAGAAGCAAATTTGAATATTGATGTTTGAATGCAACTAGAATATTTTTCACATATTTCTGAAATATTTTTCGAATCCTTCAAAGTGAAAAGTATGAGAGGATTCCTAACATAGTCTCATGAGATAGCAACATAAAAGGGCTTCTTTTGGCTAGGTTGCTGAGGGGTTGTTGTTCACAGTTGTCCTATCAAGAAATAGACGAAACTTAAATGTATTTATGAACATGATTTGCTACGACGAAGCTGTTGTTCCCGACAGTCCTCAATACTTTATACTGGCGACGAAACTTCAGGCCCAAGTTTGGTATAGGGAAAAAACTTTCTGCCAGGGGCACCACTGCGGACAAGGGGGGCTTTTATCGCAGCCACATAAACGGCATGTTTTCGGTACGACGATTCTGTTGCGGAGACTTGCTCTGGTAGCTTCAAGCACATCTTTCACTGGAATTTCATACTCTGGTTTCCCATCGCTTTCAGGCAGCGTACTTGCGCGTAGCAGCCATAAATGTCTGTTTGGTTGCGGCAGTTTCACTCGTGGTGAAATTGGCATACAGCGTGACGCGGAACTTTAGGCACCTAATGTAACGCACTCATCTTCACGAATAATGTCCTCTTATTGAAATAGCTTTCGCATATATGAAACGGGTGCATTCTAAACAAGAATGCACCCATTTCTTGACGTGGTATCGCTCGCTTCCATTGCTCTTTTCTTTTGGGGTCACCGGGAAATGTGAATAACACTTTTTTGACAGTTACTCTGTGGCCGGAATGACAGAATGGCGGTACAAGGTATGTCCTCTACATCGTTTGTCAAGCTGTCACTAACTATTTGTTGCATTCAAGAGGTACAAGCACACACAGCTCTGCACACTTGTGATAAAACACGACACCAGCTGAATAGAGCAAGCACACCACACAGCCATGTCTTCATACCATTTGTCAAGCGCCAGCTAAGTATTTGGCACATTTAAAATAATAACAGGCACGTAGAGTACTCACAATAAAACATGACGCCAACAGAGAGCACAAAAAACACTATGTCGTCGCCTTTCTGGTCCCACCAAACGCCCTCTTATCACCAGTGGTGCCGTGCCGCAATCAAAGTTAGCAGCACGAAAGGCTCCTCCATAGAGTGATGGAGAAGTTTTGTGACCAGTAAAAAGTATTGAAGGACTATGGGGGGGGAGGGGGGGTGTTGTCAACATTATCTACATGTAAGGCAAAGATGCTAATTCCCCAGTCTCTCCTCTTCTATGAATTTCTGTGGAAGCCCAAGTGTTGTGATGATCAAGGGCGTGCTCCCTTCAAGTTCGGAGTTCCAAATCTGTCTCAGATGAAAATACATATATAGGAACTCTAAAGATGTAGAAAAGCGAGAAGAAAGAAGAAAAGACAAAGAGCACCAAAAGATGGTGCTTTTTCAATCTCTTTTTCATTCTTTTCGCTTTTAAGCTTGCGCCACTTCCTTCAAGTAATGATGCACCAACTGGCCCAACATAGCGTATTGTTAAGCTTCATATTTCAAAACATATGCAATTTTGAATGCTAAAAATCTTCGGCATTCGATTGTTCAAAATTTTCTGCACCAATTTCAAGCCCAAAACAACCCTTTGCTGTCCGAGTCCCGATCTCTGCTGCATCTGTCACTTTTATGTTGGAACAGTGTTTTTTTGAGTTGATACATTTGCAACTGTACCAAAACCTAAAAAGCAGCTTTGCCGTAATACAAGAATGTGGTGGGGTGAAGCACAGTGAAAATATGAAGAAGCCATTGCTAATCGAATGTTCACTTTACTTGTCTTTAGGAAGTTTGAATAGTAAAATTCCAATGCGAATTCAATAAAATAGCAAATACTATTTGAAACATATTGAAAAATTTGATTATTTGCACATCCCTAGAAAACAAATAAATTGTTTTGTTTTTTTCCCCGCAGCAGGTCTTTTTTTTTTTGCAAGTTCAATTGCACTGCACCATTTTCGACAGATTTCGGTATCCTTCTCTTTGTCTATATAAGCCATTTTCCTTAACTGATTCACTCGACAATGAAGGTGATGTAGCCCGTAGCTTCTGCCCACTCTTACATATTAATAATTGTTGGAGTTTAACGTCCCAAAACCACCAATGATTATGAGAAACGTCGTAGTGGAGAGATTCGGAAATTTTGACTACCTGGGGTTCTTTACCATGCACCTAAGCACACGAGACTCAAGCAAGGCTAGAGTACACAGATGCCAGTCATTCAAAAATGCAGGCATAATGGGGGTTCAAGGCCCCTTCCTTTTGGAAAATTTTTAAAACTTCTCATAGGGATGTATGCATTCAAACCCACTTATGAGTAGACAAGCGACGACCATATAAGATACATTCTTTTTCTTTAATTGATGGCACACATAATACAGGGTTCGTACAGGTTTACAAAGTGAAAATTCAAGGATATTCAAGGACTTTCCAGGACCTGTTGCAAGTCTTTCAAGGACTCAAAGCGGCATGCTAAGTTGGAATTTTTCACTCTAAAATTTTCAAAATTGACGAATATTATTGCACTTACAATAAATATATGAATATCACAATTATAAAAAAAAAAGAGCGTAGTCTTAATGACTCCTTGCAACCTCTCCTACATTTTCCATAGGCAGAGGGCACGATGCCATGTCGGAAAGTTATGCGCTGATCGGCTTCAACGCGCATGCGTAGTCGGGCCTTAAAGGGGTCGTGGCACAATATTTGTGGCTTGGGCGCTCTTTGCTGCAATCTTTAATTATAGCTCCAGTAAGCACGATATGCGCACGAAAATTCATTTAGTCTCTCTATATAATTTGTCGCCTTTTTGATACAGACAATTTTCAGTTCCTGTTTGTGGGGATCAAGTTGGGCAGGTACGTAGCAGCGTAGCTGACTTAGTCACAGATCACAAAGCTTTGCACGCGTCATGCCAAGTATTGTCAGCTCTCGCACGCATGTGCCACACAAGCACCTACAAAACAAACTCGCCGCTACCTGTAGCAGTCGCGATGCTTTGCTGGAGTGTACGGAGCGGAAGTCAGGAGGTCACTTACCTGACTACAGATCTGATGTGACGTCACTAGAAGTATCGTTGCCCTTCCTATAAAGCTTCGTCAGTCTTGGACGTGCTCGCGATGGCCCTCGATTAGATTGATTGATTTGTGGGGTTTAACGTCCCAAAACCACCATTTGATTATGAGAGACGCCGTAGTGGAGGGCTCCGGAAATTTTGACCACCTGGGGTTCTTTAACGTGCACCCAAATCTGAGTACACGGGCCTACAACATTTCCGCCTCCATCGGAAATGCAGCCGCCGCAGCCGGGAATCGAACCCGCGACATGCGGGTCAGCAGCCGAGTACCTTAGCCACTAGACCACCGCAGCGGGGCCTCGATTAGAAGAATGAGCATTTAGGTACACTTGGGAAGTGACTTAAACTATATTCTTAAAGGAACACTGAAGTCAAATAAGAACTTACGTCAGAGTGAAAGCTCAAATGACAACATC